TATTTTAATTTTAATTATAATATTAAATATTGATAAATTTTCTAGGGTACCGAAGCAGTTGGTATAACAGCAGGTGAAAGTGCAAATCCTCGTCGTGATGTTCCACGTGCAATGAATGGAACTATTTGGCGTATTGTTTTATTTTTTGTTGGATCAATTGTAATCATGGGTCTTATTATTCCATATAATGATCCTCGTTTAGCTCACAAAGAGGTTGAAAATATAGCTGTATCACCATTTACACTTGTTTTTATTGCATCAGGTGTTAAACCAGCTGTACATATTATGAATGCTGTTATATTAACAACAATATTATCAGCTGGAAATTCAGGTCTTTATGTATGTACACGTATTTTATATGCTTTAGCTATGGAAGGAAAAGCTCCAAAACAATTTACATATGTAACTCGACATGGTATTCCAATATGGTGTCTTGCATTTACAGTATTAGTATCAACAATATTATTTGGTTTATCATTTATTGGTAATAAAATAATTTATCGATGGTTAGTTAATATAACAGGTGTTATGGGTTTTATAGCTTGGTTTGGAATATCAATAGCTCATTGGAGATTTCGTCGAGCATATATTTTACAAGGTTATTCATTAAATGATCTTGTTTATAAAGCATTATTTTTTCCAGTTGGACCAATACTAGCATCATTATTTATATGTATATTTGTTTTGGGACAAGGTTATTCAGCATTTACAACACATCCATTTAGTTTTGTGAATTTCTTAGCCGCTTATATAACAATACCTGTTTTTTTAACTGTTTTTTTAGTTTATAAATTTGTTAAAAAAACACGTTTTATACCTTTGAGAGAAATTGATCTTGTAACTGATAGTATTTTGCTTCATCATAGAGAACAAACATCTACTATTTAAAATTTATGGTTTTTTTTTTAAACAAAATAAATAATCAATATTAATTATTCGAATAAGTTAGTTAATTTAATTTCAACAAAAGATAATTTATCTTAATAAAAGTATTAAATAATGAAGATTTATTAACAAGAAGAAGTTTAATTATATTTAAATAAAATTTAATCAATCGAAAAACAGTAGACTTCAAACGTCGAGGGCAATCTCAGCATTTTATTGCATAACAATTAATATTAAACTGGTCACGTCATTGGTGTGAAAAAAAGTGGTTTAACAATTGATTTCTTAGGAATTTATTTAATTCAACATATTTCAATTATGAACAAGGGATAAAGTACAGCGGTGAGACCTTGAACAGCACATTATATTTTAAGCACACTTTTAGTAGCAGATAAAATATATCGTAATCGACAGGATAGAAAGTGACAGGCTAAAATCATACAATATATTTCTAGTTGATTTTTTCAATTAAGAAAAGAATGTTTTCATAGAATAATGATCTTGTTTTTAATGAAACTCTCCTGAAGCTTTTTGAGATCAAACAATCTGAACTACAAGTGTTTTGACGAAATTTTTAAAGTTTGATTGTTTCCATGGCGACGAAACATCTAAACATTATTTTCTCAACATAGGGACTCGTTGATCACAAAAAAATTGCATCGAATTTTTTTAATATTTATCCTCATAATCTGTCGATATTAACATCATTTTGAACAATTCAAGTGAGATTAATTTTATTTTATACATATATAAAAGATGCGCTTATTTTGCTTAATAAAAAATCCAGTTTTCAAAGTTATTTCTATTATTCTCATCGTTATTTATGTTACTTAAAAATTATTATTTAAATATAAATTTTCGAAATAAGTTCAAGTAAAATATTGTCATCATTGTAAATTATTTATTTAAATATACTATGCAAGATGTCTATTTATTAATGGATTGACATGTGAGTTCAAATGTAGTGTGACAAAAAAGATACCCACGTCTACATCCAACCATAATAATTTTATTTTGATTCGATGATATAACTAGGTATCAAAGTGAGTTGATAAAATATATTAAGCGTATTTTAATGAATATTTAGTTAATAGAGTATGAATATGAGTTTTATTATTACCCACATCTACACCGGCAACGAATTATCCTAGTGTCATGAAAATGTATTAATAAATCAGGGATAAATAATCGTACATTTTTAGACCATCAATCATTTTACCAACGATAATATTTTATGCGAAAACTATAAACAATTGCAAAGCAGAGAAAAAACAAACTTTCGTCAATGTGATATTGAATAAGTTCGGTTTTTTTTTGTTGCATCATAAGTAAGATATCATTGTTTGATATATATTTTCGACATGAATGTCAATGATTTATAAATCCACTGATGAAGATTTTTATCCATTTCATCTGTTAACGAACGTTTGATGTAATAGAGTACGAAGACTTTGATCTCTCCATAGGAAAAACGCTTGTACAATAAACGAATCGACAAAAAACTCTTGAATTTTCCAAGACTAGGCCAAGAACACGAAGATGATTAAACTTTTGAGCTATGTTATCTAATTGAATCGAGTCAACTTCTCGAAAATAAGTAATTTTAAGAATAACGATTCTCTTCTGCAATCACTCATATGTAATTAGATGTATTGTCGAGTGCAATACTCCAACAATTGCAATCGATTATTAGACGATCGAGATTAGTAGCAGCTTGAACTAGATGAAATATTTAATATGTTCCCTTTACGCAGAGACTCTTCAGTTGAGATCAATGGAAGACGAATGGTTGAGTTGATTGAAATGTAACTATGAATGAAAGAAATTTATAATAATCATTTAAGAAATTAAAACTACATGATGAAAATTAGACTTTTTATGAATTAAAATAGAATGCGAATTTTCCGGGAAATAAAAAGCAAAAAAGAAATCTTTGGAAAATAATTGATACTACAATAAAATGTGAACTATGAAGGAAAATAGAAACGACATGTTTCTCTTTCTTCTTTTTCGTGTTTGACTGAAAATGAGCAAATTTACATATTATACTGCTATTTGTAATAGCTTTCTATATGGAATATTTCAAAAATTTTAATGCAACAAAAAACCGCAACATTTACAGTTGTCTTTAGTAAAACACGATTGGAAGCGAATGCTGAATTATATAGCGAGAGAAAATAGTCCTATACAGTTCCTCCTACAGATCATGACAGACATTCTCAACATGTTTCCCTTTTCGATGTAGATGTGGATCTTCTTCTAAATTCATAGCTACTTGCATGCCCACCCACATTCATGCATTCTGAGCCAGTCAGTGAGTTCGTTCTACTTTATCTGTGTATATGTAGGTTTCTTATAATGGATGGCCCACAAATTATATTAACAATGAATTTTATACTAAAATTAAAAATTAAAAATCCATTAAAAATGCGATTTCTTACTTCGAATTAATATGGATTACAACGACTTTTTGCTGTCGAACTTTGGAAAATTCTAAAATTTTATAAATCATATGTACTATAAAATGATGTTTTTGGGGGGCGAGAAATACTTAACTAACATATGATGCACAAGTCTTGAAAAAATGTCAACCTATTTTGGAATACGTTAGATCCTAGAAGCTTAGCAGAAAGAAAAAGAATTTTGAAAACAACTCTTTTATTGTTACAAAACAATCAGGTAGTAAGAAGGACCAAATTATACCGTGTCATACAGAAAGAGCTATATTTTTCTAAAGAAATCAACACTAACTTTAACTTCAAATACCCATCAGAAAGAGCGCTGTTTATACTACAAAAATCATCATCAAATGTGCAATAGAAAATAATATTGTGTGAAGGTGAAGTTACAAAAACGTTTTTATAGATGTTTGGTTTTTGATTTCTTCTGCTTCGTAGATTCATTCCGGAAAAATAAACTTGGTACAAAATTTGTAGTTCCGACTTTACTCTTTCCAACAAAAAAAAAACTCGATTGGTTTAGAAGCTGGTAATATGGTCTAACATAGGTTGACATTTTTTCCAAGACTTTTGCATTGCATGTTATTACCAAATTAAAAAAAAAAACAAGGAGGATGACCATTTTATAAATAAATCAAGAATAAAAAGAACAATGGACAAATGGTTTAGGTCAGTATATAGTCATATTCACTGTGCACATCGAAGTAGAAAATGATATGAACGAAAATCGCACCATGATAAGTTTTTGCATTCTAGACTTATTTTCAAAACATCTGTTGTACGCTTTTTCAATTTTGAAATGAGCAATTTATGTGCCATTAATATTCTTTTACAATTCGAAGATCTCCGGTGTTCGATAACAAAAATTGTCATAATACATACTAATCAATCTAATTTTTAATGGGCTTTAATTCTGTGTAACATTCATTGTTGATAAAATTTGCTGATAGAACTCTTTTTCCGTTTTTATTCATACAGCAAAAAATTGAGAAAGCTATATTAGATCATTATTGTTCTGACATATTCTTATGATTAAAATAAATATTTGATGTGTACTCATATAATTTTTTGTACTTAACATAGAACACATGCTATGAAATGTTCGAGTTAGTTATACAAAGTTCATTTCGTGGACAAACTGAAATGAAAATAGTGAGTTCTCATTTTTTTTTAATTAGTAATTGCTTCTTTCTGCAATAAAAGATAATTAAATCTCACTTCTAATTTTTTGTCTATTTAGTATGATTATACTAGTAAAGTGTAGTTTCTAGACCGTCAATTCTGCTCTATTTATTGTAAAAATTTCAATCATTTTCAAGCAGTTATATAGATGTAGTTGAGATATCATGAATCACTCGTATGGCTTCAGCAAATATAAACCAAGATAAATAGAAAAAAAACGAAAGAAAAATAATCATTATTGATCTTCTACTATACACCAATACAGAGGGAAGAATAAAAATAAAAAGGTGCACAAGAAGGTAGAACATGAATGAGAAGGACACGATTCACTAAGCGAAAGATAAATATTAGTTATAATTAAGGAAAGAGAAAGAAAAATAGGAGACGCATTTAACCTAGTTTTTGATCATCATTATTTATACAACATTCCGTACACTATTTAATTTTTAACACAAGCTATCAATTTGCTTAGATATGGACAAAAAAAAATGTTATCGATGTGATGGCAAGGGTAAACGTGGTCATGAAAGCAGTAATTGTAAGGGATGTGACGGAACAGGCTCTATCCAGTTTCAGTTCTGTCATGGTAGCTATCTTGATCATACGATGAAGTGTAATCGTTGCGATGGTGCCGGTAAACGTGGTCATGAATCCGCTGATTGCAAAGGATGTGATGGAAAAGGTTATCATATTAATGCTTCGAAATGTTCTCGCTGTAACGGTGCCGGTCAATATGGTTACGAGTCAGGTCCTTGCAAAGAATGTAATGGAAAAGGTCACACTGGATAATCGATTATTTTGCGTGCTTTAAAAAAAAAATCTTTCATTTTAAAAAAATTGTATCAATCGTTCATATTTATCTTATTTCTTCTTCCGATTCTGACTACTTCATATTCTGGTTCTATTTTTTTTTTGGTTCTCTATATTAAAGCTCATATTTTTCATTTGCTCATGATTCTCACAGTCACACGACCGTCAAAAACACGTGTAAACACTAATCGAACAAAAATTGGCCATTTTTGCATACTACTCGTGGCTTCGACGAGCAAAGGATTACAAAATTTTAAAAAAAATTAGACGAGAAAATGAAGATGGTCACTTCACACGTTCGATGTTCTACAACTTTGACTTGTTTACTCGAATCGTTGAAAGATTTTCATCTTAATATATTATTGATTGATTGTCCAGAAAGATTTTCTTGAAAACTCGACTCGGACAATGCTTTACTCAATGTTAGTTTGATTTGCTTCAAAAAGAATTAACTTATTTGAATTGATAGTTTGTTCGAAGGTTGTTCTCAGCTAATCAAACAACTGAGCAATATTTGATACTTCAAATAAAAAAATCTTTTTGGTCGAAAATATACTCTTTGATCTTTCGAAAATGTAATTGTCAACTGATATCTCAGAATTAGTGCTAAAAAGATTGAATAAATAGAAGAGAATATTGAAGATATGTTTTTATTCCTATTAGCGAACACTCTAACAACGGTCATCTTTATTTTTTTACCCGTCTTCATTTGTGTGTATATGTGTATACATTTTTGATACATATCTGGGTCAATCTTTTTTCTCTTTTTCTTTCGTTCGTGAGATTTTCAATAAATTCCTTGACATTCCTTTTGTTCTAAATTTTATCGTATTTGGAAAAAAGATGTTGCACTTTATCTTGATTACGATATAGTCTAGGTTGAAGTAGAAGAGGTATGTCCACTACCTCCTTCTTCTCTCTTTCTCTTATATGAGTGTTGGAAATGTATAAGTAGCTCAAAAATTTCATAATAAAAGGATTGATCAAGCAGAAAAAGGAGGTTTTCCATTATATATTGAATCTTCGTTAAAGAGAGAGCGCTCTCTGAAAGCAATTGCTTTTGAGTTTCTCATTGGAGATGATGAACTCAAATGAATTAGTTCGAGAAGAGAGCATTTCCAGCGTGCTTGTTCAAGTTGAAAGAGTAACGAAAAGAAGACGATTGTCCTTATTTGTTCTTTTCTTAGCGAAGGTGAACAAAGAAGTAGTAAGATACTAAGTATGTGTCATTTTTTTTTGTCTATTTTTTTCAATTGAACGAGGTTAAAGCGATACAATAGTAAGGTTTTTCTTTTAAAAATCAATGTTAAGTCGAGTTTTTTTTTTCGACCAAGTTCTATAGATAAGTGAGTTGTACATAAGAAATTGAACGTTTTCTTGGCATCATCCATTGTCGCTTAGTAGTAAAGAAAAAGTTCGATGCAAAAACGAAAATGAACATTCTTCTTTGATTTGTCAATTGAGATAAATCAAGTTGAAATTCGAATTCGACTAAATGTTTTCCTTCGTCCATGTGACATATTCTACGAATAAATTTGAAAATTGTTTACCTCGTTGTTCAGTCATCGAGTTGTCATTCACAAACTTCATCACAATCTCTATTTAATTAAAGAGAAATTGATTTGGTTTTTATTTCTATATTGTCGTCATCAACAAAATCTTCTCAGTTATTGAGTGATATCGAATTGGTTCGGTTTGTATTGGTATCGATCTGACATCCGGATGTTTAGGGTTCAGTATAATTTGAGATTGATCAAGATGGGTGCGAGTGTGAATGGGCGATTTACACCTACACCCACACCCAAACTGGTACTAGCAGATCAGTCAAGACTAAGACTGGTGAGTACCTATTCTGTAGATAAATTTTTCCAAGTTCGGTGTTTGTTCTAACAATATTTCAAGATTACTGAATTTGAATTGATATATTATTTGCACAACGGTGTAGTTAAATTAATACTTTGAATAGAGTTAATTATTAGTTCGTTGTCATTTGTTGACAAGCCGTTTTTTTTTCTAAATACTTCAACAGTTGTTTTACATTTTAAAAATTCGAATAATCTTTCCAAAGTACAATTATGAACAACTGTTAAATGTGTGACTAATCGAATTTTTTCAATAGGTGGATCAGAATACAACTCTGACAGTGATAAGATTTGTATTGTTAATGAAGACAGTGCCATTAATAGCTCAGTTACATTTGATGATCAACCAAGAAAAGAAAAACATCATAGATTTTTCAACATTCTTAATGATCGAAGTTGACAAAATTCTTTGAATGACAAAAACGATAAAAACATTTGAACTTGTTTACATGTATCAATTGATTTCAATAATGGATTTACTAATATTTTATTACAAAAAATAATCAAATATCGTTTTACTAATCATTTGAAAATGAAATATTCATAACCATCAATGAATATTTCATTTGATAAGAATTCAAAATTCATTCTTATTCTTATTTCATCAACAACACCAGATCATTAAATAACATAGAAATGCAGAAACATGAACGTGCATTCTTTTTTTTATGTTGATTTTTATCTCTATAAAATTAATATTTTGTCATGGAAGTATTTCATAATTTGAACGTCACATGATTATGATGATGAAATCTTTAATTTTGATTGATAAGACATTTTTTTTCTTTTATATTAGTAAAGAACTGGCGATCTACTTACGTCCCTGGTCTTTGTATATAATTGTGATCACTTTTTTCTATTTTACATAGTTACTATCTTTTTGTGAAGAGATAAAAGCTGAGAATTTGTATTAATTTTTGGGTAACAAACTTCTTTTTTTTTCTATTATCACAGTGAGTGTTTATTTCAATTGGACTCTAAAGATGTGTCGGTTTAAAAATAAAATTTCACTTTTCTTCTCAAGAATAAAACACAAATATATAGACTTTGAAACTTCGCGTTGATTATCAAATAATATGTGTAGAAATTCTGCTTGTAGCAAAGAATGAAATTTTAGGTTGAATGACCCGTTTTAGGGTTCTATAGATATCTTTTAATTTGATATTTGAATTCAAATTAACATGTAGATAATTGTTTTATTAATCAAGAAAAAATATATCTTATGAATAATTCCCATTTTTCAGATCACTAAATATAATCGTAGAGAAACTTTGTACTTACTATCGATTTCACTTCTTGACACAAATATATGCCGTTCAGAGGCTCCAAATGTGAATGTCATTGTCATACGTATTAATTTGGGTAGATGACCCCATATATATATATGCATAAATATTGAAATTCTGCTAAATTTAAAAAGATTTCACAAAATTGAGGTATTATATCTGAATCAATCATTCCAAGTATGTACCTATGGCATCATATAGTTACTGATAATTGTTAAGTATTGTAATTCTTTTATTCAAATAAATACATAAATCATGATTGCCGAAGAATGAAAGAAAATTTTTTCATTTTAGCAATATGTAAAGAGATCAAATTAGATAGATTAACATTTTATTCTAATTAATTCTAAATCTTGTATGTTAAATTTAGAATAATTATAATGTTAATAATCGAATATTTGAAAAATATATATCAGGAAGATTTTGAATTACTTCTGTATATAATTTTAAATGCATTACTTTTTTAAATAAATTTCTATTGTTTATCAATGTATTAGAAGCAATATTTGTATTAAACCATTGATATTGTTCATGTCAAAAACCATTCTGGAATTTCTGAAAATTTATTAAGAATTTCTTCATTTATCAAAATTATTTGATTATATCCACGAAATCCAATAATGAATTTAAATTTAAAAACTTTTAAATATTTTAGTGATGATAAAATGAATTGTTGCTCATGCGAAGCATCTAAAACGTCTATACATAGTTTCTTGCTTTGATAGTAAAAATTCTTTCAAATTTGAACCGAATTTTATCAGTAGGCGGATCAGAATCAAGCTCTGGATTTGATAATCTTCGAATTATCAATGAAGGCAGTGCTATCAGTAGATTAATTTTCACAAGCCATCGAACATCAAAAGAAAAATGATGAAAATTAATGGATTTAACCCTGTTTACAATTAACGATTGAAGTTCACAAAATTTATTCAATGAATACATTGCTAAAACCCATCAAATTTGATTATATGTTTCAACTGAATCTGATTTTTATTTTTATTTCGACTACTAAAGATAAAAATGTTATCGTTACACATAGACACTTCCACTTATCAACATAATTATTATCTTTTTTTAAACAATGAAATCTAAGATTTAATATTAGTCTGTAGATACCGAACTATTTTCTGTATCAGTATAGTGAGTGTTTATTTCAATTTAAATTTCAGCACATCTTGAATTGTCTTGCTAAAGAATGATACAAGTACATAGGTTTCGAAATTTCAGCTTGACAATACTCTTTTCTAATAGATGGGGAAATTTCATTTTTTCCAAGCAATTCTTTAGTCATGATCGAACGTCATCAAAAACAAATGATTAAGACGGAAAAAAGTTGTCACATAATCAACATTCACTCCTTTATTTTTGATGAAACTGATAGCAAGAGAAAAGAAAATAGTTTATGCGGGATTTTAATGTAATAACAAGAGAGGTGATGCAGAAGATGAGGTATAGCAAATCATTTGAGAGAACTTCTGCTTTTTTAGTTTGTGTTTTTATCGAGCTCGTCAATTTTTGCATGTATAAATTTTTTCATTTGTTGCGCTTGATCAAACAGAAACATTTTTCTTTCAGTTGTCTTCGTTCTACTACTAAATGTCTACAGTTTGATGAGGAAGAAAAAGAAATGTAGTAAGTGAGTTGTTCTTCGTCACTACTGTAGTTTATGATGGAATATTTGTTGATTCATTGTAAGATTGTACGACGCGACATGTAAGTAAATTGCTGGCAACAAAAGTTCTCTCGAAATCGTTCAAAAACATGATAAACTGGTGACCTCCATGTAGTTTTCATTATTTTAACGAATGACTTCGACACAACAAACGTGTAGAAATCGATCATACTAATGTACCTAGTTTTTTTTTTCTTAAAGTATCTTTTTCATTTCTGAGAGGGGACAGTCACAGATGTCAGAATTTTAGAAGGAAGAATAATTTTCTTATAATAACTAATAATAAGTAAAAAAACAAGAACGCAGCTATTTGGACTGTCATTTCGTTCTTACTTGTCATGGGTTTCTAAAACATGACGTTTTGTTGAAATTTAATTCTTTGAGGCAACTTTTTAAACAACTCAATTTTTGAAAATCTCAAAAGAAAGATTGAAACGAACATTCGCGACTTGTAACTGATTCACAGAGACTTTTAGACATCATATTTGTTAAATTTTTTTCTTTCTGTTCATAATATTTGATAAAAAATTATATGTGAGTTTTACAGAAACTATTCTTTTATATGCACATCTTTCTCAGAATCGAACGTACCTGATCTTGGTGAAAGGAAGAACTTTCCCGTATTTTTTAGATATTGTCTATAGGCTACTTGAACAAGAAAACGAATTATCGTGAAAAAGTACTTTGTAAGTTTACATGGCAGAGAACAATATGCATTTCGATGAGGAAACGGAGGCGTCACCTTTACTTCATAATGTTCAACAAGGATTGATTGACAACGAGGACAATATAATATCGCCTTTAATTGAAAATGTTCAACCAACTTTACTTGACGAGGAGTCTCCTTATGAAATAATAGCAGGCAATGTGTCGAATCAAGACGATCCAACACTTCCATGTTTCACATTTCGTTCATGCACTCTTGGCATCTTATTTACTTGTATTGTTGCATTTATCAATCAATTCTTTTCGTTTCGCACAATGCCTATTTTTCTTGGCATGATCGTTGTGCAGCTGCTCTCTTATCCTATGGGTAAAGTGATGGCCTCGCTATTGCCTAGCCGAACATTTATGCTATTCAGTGGAAGATGGAGATTCACATTGAATCCAGGTCCATTCTCAATCAAAGAACATTGCATTATTTCAACAATGGCCAATACGGCAAGTGTAAGTTTCGAAAGGACGGGGGCGCATAAGAGGTCAAATCGGCCCATTAGGAATCGCTCGGGATAACCCTATTGAATCATACACCATTTGAAAGAGCAAGTTAAAGTGAACATTTTGATGCTATTTTCATAGGGTTTTGATCGAATTTTTGAAGCGAAGAGCTATTTACAAAGTTACTCATTTTTGGGCACTAATCCAATAATCGANACAGTAAGAACTTTAATCATGGCAAACCAATATTCAGCTTCTCCATAACTTTTTACTGTAAATGCATTTAATACAAATATTACTATCATTCCTAATAGAGACCAAATAGTCGACCAGAGCCTAAATTATATAGGACATTATATAAATCTCCAAAAACATATCATTTTCATTTTTTCATCAAGTATTCACATTATTGCTCACTATGTATCTGAAAATCTCACCGAGAGAAGTTAGAAACTAGAGAAAGAAAAAGAAACTATTTTTCTTTGTTGAAACAACATAGCGAGTGGATCGAAAGTTTTTGGACAAAATGTTTGTTCAATTTTCACTCATCCGAAAATATTCTAGATGAATGCAAAAAAAGGTGCAGAAGGATCGGAATACTATGTTCTTTTCGAATATGAATTCAAAAGTTCTGTGACTAGTTTTTGTTTGCCAACAGTGAGAGAATCTTTGAACATGCTGATGAGATCAATTTCGGTCAAAAAATCGATTGTTCAAAAACGATGATATTATGAGAATAAAAATTTAGATGCTTTATAGAAAACGCAATCAATCTGAAATAGTGTATTTTTTATAGCAGGATCCACTCTACAATTTGATATTCCAGTCCTTTCTCGTCTTTTTTTGCATTCATCTAGAATCTTTCGAATGAGTGAAAAAATAGTTGCTCAAACATAAACAAGTGAAAATAACAAAAAATAAACTTACATAAAGCATAAAAGTTACTGTTATTGACTCTCTTCTATTATATCTAATTCTGAAAAAACAATATATACAAATACATTTTGATTATGGTTTATGTAGCGATGTCGCTTTTGTCTTTCATCAATGTTTTGATTTTCTTTAAATAAGTGTCAATTAGAATAAAAAAAAAAAACAATAAATAGCCATTCGAACTATTTAATCTTGATTCTTTCTATTCAATTCTAAATAGAAGAATTATTAACAAGACATATTCCTCTAAGACTTCTTAATGATGTTGACTATAATTGATCAATTTTAAAAAATTTCAAAATTAAAATAGCTGAACTTGCAACACAATATCCAATAAGTGGTTCATTTAGTACATATGGAAGTCGTTTTGTTGATGAAGCATTTGGTTTTGCATTAGGTTATAATTATTATTTTGCTGCTGTAACAGCAATTGCTAGTGAATTAGTAGCTGCTGGAATTATTGTACAATTATGGTTACCACATTTTCCAACTATTATTTGGTCTCTATTAGGAATGATAATAATATTTGTATTAAATGCATTTACAGTAAAAAGTTATGGAGAAGCTGAATATTGGTTTGCCATGATTAAAGTTCTTACTGTTATAATATTTATAATAGTTGGTTTATTAGTTGATATAGGTGTACTTGGAGATGTTAAAATTGGATTTCATAATTGGAAAATTGATGGTGCACCTTTTTATAGAGGTATAGGTGGAATTGTTACTAGTTCAATTGCTTCGGCTTTTGCATTTGGAGTAAGTTTATTTGAATTTTAGCTATAATTTTTAATATAATAAATTTTCCAGGGTACAGAAACTGTTGGTATAACAGCAGGTGAAAGTGAAAATCCTCGTCGTGATGTTCCACGTGCAATGAATGGAACTATTTGGCGTATTATTTTATTTTTTGTTGGATCAATTTTAATAATGGGTCTTGTTATTCCATATAATGATCCTAGTTTAGATCATAATGATGTTAAAAACGTAGCTGTATCACCATTTACACTTGTTTTTGTTAGATCAGGTCTTAAACCAGCTGTACATATTATGAATGCAATTATATTAACAACCATATTATCAGCTGGAAATTCAGCTCTTTATGTATGTACACGTATTTTATATTCTTTAGCTAAGGAAGGAAAAGCTCCAAAACAATTTACTTATGTAACACGACATGGCATTCCAATATGGTGTCTTATACTTACAGCATTTCTATCAACAATATTATTTGGTTTATCATTTATTGGTAATCAAATAATTTATCGATGGTTAGTTAATATAACAGGTGTAATGGGTTTTATAGCTTGGCTTGGAATATTATTATCTCATTGGAGATTTCGTCGAGCATTTATTGTACAAGGTTATTCATTAAATGATCTTGTTTATAAAACATCATTTTTTCCAGTTCGATCAATAGTAACATCATTATTAATATGTATATTTATTTTAGGACAAGGTTATTCAGCATTTACAACACATCCATTTAATTTTAGTACTTTCTTAGCAGCTTATATAACAATACCTGTTTTTTTAATTATTTTTTTAGTTTATAAATTTGTTAAAAAGACACGTTTTGTACCTTTAAGAGAAATTGATCTTGTATCTGATAGTATTATGTTTTATCAAACAGAATAAACATTCAATATTTAAAATTTATGATCTTTTCTGAAACAAAATAAATAATTCAATATCATTAATTGAATAATTTAGTTAGCTTATTTTCAATCAAAACAAAAATTATTTTAATAAAACTCTAAAATGATCAAGATATAGTAACCAGCAGAAATTTATTATATTGAAATAAAATCTACATAGAAATTTTATTTCGCAGATAAAACTTAACTAATCGAAAAACATCAAACTTGAAATATCGAGTAGGATTTCAGTATCTTATTGCATAGTAGATAATACTAAATAGATTACATTATGTGTCTGACATATTTCAATTATGAACAAGAGAAAAAAAATCTAGTGATGAAACTTTGAATGCACAGTACTCTTTGAGTACAGTTTTAGCACTGAATAAGATATTTCATAATTGATAGAATGAAGGATGATCAGTTAGAATAATACAATATACTGTTCGCCTCAAAAGTATTGTACCACTTTTTTGTTTTGGCTCGCGTTTCAAAACTATACGACATAGATTCAATTTTCTTTTTTTCTTCAGATAGTACAGCTCGAGTACTATATGTATACACATGTTTGAAATGGAGGATTTTTGAATATGAAGTACAGAAACAAAAAACAAACTTCAATACTAAGTGAAAAATTGTGTAAAAAACTACAAAACGATATAACTATTATGAGTTTTAGTAGTTTTAGTNATTTAATAGTCATTAGATAGTCCTGAAAGTTTCAACGAAAACGAACATTCCTTTCTCAAGTTATTCAGTTTTCAAAAAAACCAGCTGTTTACCATAGGAGGGCACAATAATCCAGTTTAGTTGGACATTCAATATCTCGAGAAAGACAGGTTCATTGTCGTTGAAACTTTCAGGACTATCTAATGACTATTAAATCTATCTATAGGTAAAATTTCAGTAAAATGACTATAAATCTTCGCCAGTAGACCATGGGCACGAATACTTTTAAGCTTTTTCTTATCTCAATACACTCTATCGAATGAGGTATGAATGAATCAAAAGGGAGCGGATCACTTGGGAACGTTCCCTCGTAAGTTCTGATTGCGTTAAAGAATATAATAGGTCTAAGACTTAGCGAAGAATCTTTCGAAAGTAAGACTTGTGACAAATTAGTTAAACACCGATAGACACTAGATAATAAACAAAATGACACCATTGATAAAGCATGTCCAGACGCCCATTATGTATCTTTTGTCATTTTTTTTCAAAGAATTTTCGCAAAAAATTTTATGTGGATTATTGATCGTATTACAAAAAGATGAGCTTCAAACAGATCTATGACGCATGATCTACGTATTAGTCGGTTAATAGAAAAAAGCTCTTAGCATAATTCCTGAGGGATTAAAATGTGAAACACGGTGTGGTTACTATTGCTAACCATTAGAGAGATCGTTTTATTCTATCTTTTTCGAAATGAAAGGTTATTGTTTTACAGTAGAGCCTATCCAATTGGAATTTAAAACGTTGACCCTGATGGACTCTACCTTACACATTTCTCAGACAAAGTCCGATTAGAAAGTTTCATTGAAAGTATGAACTTACAGCTGGAATATACGGTCTGTATTAGTCTTTGACTTTTGTTTGTGAGACTAAAATTTCAACATTTACATTGAGTATAACGTAAAAGAGGAAATCATAGTTATTTCTATGAATATTTGTGTCACTCTATAAAAAAAAAATCTTTGAGATTATAATATGTTATTTTGAGTTTATATATATATATATCAATATTCATGATTTAGTTTTTTCTAATCGTAACAAAAAAATTCATTAAATTTCCTGTTCTATTAAATTATGATATTAATGTGTAATTCTTTTAGGGTCTTGGAAAAACTTTACAAACAATATCATTAGTTGGCTATATGAAATTATGTCGAAAATCTGTACCACATTTAGTTATTTCTCCTAAATCGACATTACGTAATTGGATGAATGAATTAAGACGTTGGGTACCATCATTAAATAGTGTTTGTTTAATTGGTTCACAAGATGAACGTAGTCGTATAATTCAAGAAGAAATTGAACCTGGTGGTTGGGATGTAGTTGTTACATCATATGAAATTGTTTTACGTGAATCGACTATTTTAAAAAAATATAATTGGTGTTATGTTATAATTGATGAAGCACATCGTATTAAAAATGAACAATCGAAATTAAGTAAAATGGTACGTTTACTTAAATCTCGAAATCGTTTATTAATAACTGGTACACCATTACAAAATAATTTACATGAATTATGGGCATTATTAAATTTTCTTTTACCTGATGTATTTGATTCAGCTGATGATTTTAATGCATGGTTTGATACACAAAAATGTTTAGCTGATGATAAAGATCTTGTTACACGTTTACATGGTATATTAAAACCATTTTTATTACGACGTTTAAAAAGTGATGTGGAAAAAAAACTTCCACCAAAAATTGAAACGAAACTTTATGTTGGTTTAGCACCATTACAACGACAATGGTATACAAAAATTTTAATGAAAGATATTGATATATTAAATAGTGCAAGTGGTAAACTTGATAAAATTCGTTTATTAAATATTCTTATGCAACTTCGAAAATGTGCTAATCATCCATGTAAAATAAAAATTCTTAAAAATTAAATTATAATTTTTTTTGTTTTTTTTGTCTTCATAGATATTTTTGATGGCGCAGAACCTGGTCCACCATATACAACTGATAAACATCTAGTTGATAATTGTGGAAAAATGATTATATTAGATAAACTTTTAATTAAACTTAAAGAACAAGGTTCACGTATACTTATATTTAGTCAAATGACACGTATGTTAGATATATTAGAAGATTATTGTATATGGAGAAATTTTGAATATTGTCGTTTGGATGGACAAACATCACACGAAGATCGACAAGCATCAATTGATGCATATAATAGTCCAAATAGTACAAAATTTGTATTTATGTTATCAACACGTGCTGGTGGTTTAGGTATTAATTTAGCAACAGCTGATGTTGTCGTTTTATATGATAGTGATTGGAATCCACAGGTGGATTTACAAGCTACAGATCGTGCTCATCGTATTGGTCAAACGAAAACGGTAAATATTATCAATTAGAATTAATTTTGTTTAAGTTCATGTTATTCAAATACTATGAAAACAGTTCTACAAAAAAGAAATCTATATAAGACATAGCTTAATAATGGAAAACAAGAAATTTTGTTTTTCTTTTAAATATCGAAGGCGAATGTTGTCAAAAGCATTTCTTATCGTTTGTTTTGTTAGTCTCGATCATGAGATCGATTCTATTCCTCACAAGAAAATTTCTGTAAAACACTATGAATGTTCTAAACAAAGTTTGCATCCTTAGATATTGCGTATTAACGCAGTGACGTATCCAGGATTTTTCAGTATGCTGAATCTCGACTTCCGAGTATGGGACCCAGATGAAACTCATGGAGGATGATGCTGGGTCCAAATGATGAAATTTTATCAAAAACAATTTGCACTCGGAGTTTGCGAAAAAAATTTGCATTTTCCTGATCCCGCCTCCTAGGATTTTTTGCTGTTAGTAGCATCTTAATTTTTAGAATTTCATAGAAAGCTATACCGAATTTCAAATTTCGTCTAAAAATATGTAATCGTTCAAGAGTTATAACTTTTTGAATTTTTGCCACATGTGGAAACAATTTTTTCGAAATTTCAAAACATCATAACTCTTGAACGGTTGCACATTTTTAGACGAAATTTAAAATCTGTCGATGAAATTCGGTATAGCTTCCTATGAAATTCTAAAATCCAAGATAATACTAACAGTAAAAAATNTCGAACTCGACCGAGACATTGTTAAGACTGAACTGTTTAGAAAATTTCATCGCGATTGGACTCTCCTTTCAAAAGTTATCGTGTTAACGGCCGGCCGGCCGGACACACTGACCGATTCTAGAGTGTACTCAATTTTTGAGTACACAAAAATCAGTTCTAGATAAGCTGATTGTCCAGAGCTATATGCCTTTCAATTTTGCGAAGTTACGTCGCTAAAAAATGATATTGCCCATATGTTTAATTGACCTCCAACTTTACAGAAAACGTAGGTCGATTTGACTTGTGTTTTGATACTATCGTGACATTATAGAAGTGCAACAGAGTTTTAGAAACATAAAGATCGATAGACATAGAATAAAGCTTCATCATTTGATTGATTTCTATATAGATGATTATTATAAAATAATATTTTAACATTGTATTTAACTTCTTTTTCATGTGACTAAATTGTTAAGATATTATTAACTCTTGAATAGCAATTAGACATTAGCTTTTTATTATTATTTCTATTGAGAAGGGAAGTATTCCTTACTTTTGAAAATAGAAGCTTGATGAAACTAATAAAACTCGAAACGGAATTATGCTTGAAAAGATACGGCCGTTTAAATTGAATTTTCGGGTCAATGGAACGACATTTTCATGACAATTGAATTACAGAATTTTAATGTAATTCCTATTAGAATTTCCTGGAAATTTTCAATAACAACATGTGTGTCTGATTCGAAATATATTGAACTTTGAATCAGTACTCATTTGCTATTACAAAAGGCAAAACTATCGAATCTACTGATAAACTAATTATTTAAGCAAAAAAAAAAAAAGACGTATTTATTTTCGATGACAAATTATATAAAACTTAATTAAACTATCTTAACTTTTGATCCATAATCTATAAACACTGATCCATGTGAAATTTCATCAACCTACAGGCGAATTCCACTAATAGGATAACTTCTAAGTTCACAAACGAGAAATTAATCGATGATATGTCCTTTCATTAAATTAGTATATTTTTTATGGTATCAAAAATATTTAAATGTTATTTAGATGGCTCGATATAAAGCACCATTTCATCAATTACGTATTCAATACAATACTAATAAAGGCAAAAATTATACTGAAGAAGAAGATCGTTTTCTTCTTTGTATGTTACATAAACTTGGTTTTGATAAAGAAAATGTTTATGAAGAACTTCGTTATGCTATACGACAATCACCACAATTTCGTTTTGATTGGTTTCTTAAATCACGTACATCAATTGTTCGTATTTATTTCAAATATTTTTTTTTTTTTTTTCGAATAAAAATTAATTTTTGCTTTTTTTAATATTTTAATTTAGGAATTACAACGACGTTTAAATACATTAATTACTTTTGTTGAACGAGAAAATCAAGAATTAGAAGAACGTGAACGTGCTGAAAAGAAAAAAGGTCGTACATCAACAAAAAATACTAATGCACTTAATTCATCACAAAATTCTCAATCAACACCTATTGCAAAGGTTTATTATTATTTATTTATTTATTTGTTATTTAATAAATTTCTATTAAAATAGGTTAATGGTAATCAGAAACGTAAACCTGATGCATTTGCAGTTGCATCGAATAGTTCACCTGCTAAACGAAAGAAAAAATGATCTTAATCAATTTGTTCATATCTTGGCTTAATTCAGATTTTTGTTTTTTTTTTGTGTAAAGGAAAAAAAGACCAAAACATTAAAATAAAATAATTCTCTGTGTATGTGTGTGTGTGTGTATGTATGTGTGATGTTGTGTCTAATTGTTGTTTGCCTTTTTCTTTTCCTCATCTTCATTCTTGTCGACAAATAAGTCGAAAAAAACAATAGTTTTCATGGTTTATTAATAAACAAGTCATACATTCTTTAATGTGGTTAAAATAATTTGAGTATTATGAATATTACAATTACAATGTATGCAGTTTTTCTTCGAGTAAAAAAGTTTACATAGTTTTTCTATTGGCATCAAATTCCAAAATTATATTTGCTCGATACTTTAGTTTGATATAATAATATAAAAAAAACTATAGCATATTTTATCTCAGTAGGTTTAAAATCAATGATTCTATCGTTTCGATGTTTTCTTATAGTGTAAAAAGAGAGTAATCATGTGTAATAATGAAATATGATTTATCGATCAGAGATATTTTCTGTTCAGTAGAAAAATATGGATATTAGAGATGAAATCGGAATGGAATAAAATCGTCAATATTAATTCTGCCGATGATGATTAGAAGTTGTTTGATTCGGGCCCGATAGTTTCTAATGTTCACATTCTATTTTTATAATATAAACCATAAAATAACGATAAAAACAAGTTCTAATAATCCAAAACCTAGAAAGTTTTTTTTCTATCACGAATATCACATTCGTTTTCTTCTCTCTATTACACATTTTATCTATCTTAAAAACCAAATCAATGACTTGAAAGCAAAATCAAATAGAAGAGAATGCATTGAATATCATTTACAAAGTATTTAACATTCTATTAAGTTAAATGATAAGACAACTAACATATTCATATTACTATAAAGTATAATCTACATATTTGTTCTCATGATTTAACATTCTTACATATATAATCAAAGTTAAGTATATTATTTTCTTTCTCTTTTTCTTTTTTCATTAAATAGATTGTAACATTTTTGTAATAGAAGAAAATCTTTTAAAACATAATCATGAAAATAGATTTTAAATAAAATACAAAAAAAAAAAAAGTTCATGTTCATAATTATTCTTATGTTAAAACTTGATTAGATATATATATATACAATAAATGAAAATAAGAAAAGTTTTTTTTTTTTGTTCATTAATTTTATTATTGATAACAAATGAACAATTTATTTTTAAGAATAACTCAACTCTAAACTTCAAACTATCAGTAATAACATCAATCTTTTTTTTTTCTTTTGTTTTATGTTATTATTGTTAATGATGATTGCCTAGGGATAATCAATGTTTATATAAATTATGTCGGTAGAAAAGAACAATTCTTTTATTTTAATGATAATATGACATTGAATGTATGGATATTTGTTTGATTATAATAACTTTAACTTAATAAATTTTTTTTAACAAATCATATTGATTGTTGTTTTTTTCTTTTTTCTTTCTTTTAATAATTATAATGTAAAGATAAGTTGGTTGATTAATCATGTAAGACAAATAGAATGAGGAGGAGGAGGAGAAGAAGAAGAAGAAGAAAAAATGATGTGTAATTTTGTCTACTAAATTGATGTTCTCCCGGCTGAATGCAAATAACAACACATACATACGACCATAAGAAGCAATCTAGTATAACATTGTCGACAATACTTCTCCATCATGCATATACAAACTAAGATTTGATTGTAACAATCTTTTCTATGAGAAAGAATATGGGTACATGAAGCTTTCTGTGTCTGTCTGTCAGTTATTGCATGATAATAATAATAATAATAATAATGATGATGATGATTTTTTGCCTTGCCTTTGCTATGTCTTTTGCTTGCCCTACTATTATCATTTACATTCATTTCATATCATATCATACTCATCATCGTTCGTCGTCGAGCTAGCAATAACGCTGCTGTATAATCGACATTAACAACTAGACGTCAACGTTAATCTTCCACCTCTTTTCTTTCTTCTTCCTATCATATTTTTCTCCATTTCTTTATGTGTGTTACATGCTCTAATAGCAAAAGAATACGAGAGAAATTCAGCAAATCGGATGGCTCGTTTTGTTAGTGAATCGGACGAATCCAAATAGAGAACACATAAAGAAAGAAAAGAGAAGATTAATTTTGTTTTTGATATAAACTGTTTCATGATATTGGTAGCATGTGTCTATGTATGTATTCCGTTCTTGCTTAATTCGGATTCGTTGAGAATGAGAATAAAAAGAGTAGGGAAGAGAGAGAGAGAGAGAGACAAGAAAAACGCATAAAAGACAAGAGAGAGAGAGAGAGAGAGAGAGGGAGAGAGAGCAATCCACTTTTTTTGGTCATGCGTGCAAGAGAGCGCATCCGTTTATTTTTCTAGCTACAGATTTTTTTTTGATTAATTTTGTATAGATTATTATTATATGAAGCACATACTAACATAAAAAAAAAAAAAAAAGAAAAGAAAAGAATAAAGAACAATGGAAATTTTACGTGCTGAAACCAATGAATTTCCTCATTTAAAAGTATGTATTTATAAATAAAAAAAGTGTTTTTTTGTTTTGTTTTGTTTATTTTTTTTTTAAATAATCAATTAAACATTTATATAGAATACGGATGGTCCAAAAAATAATTCATCATCATCAGCATCATCATCATCAACAATTGATGATGATGAAGATGATCAATTTTCAAATGTTAGTACAATTGATGATAAACGAACAATAAAATCTCCTGTTAATAATGAAGATAAATCAAAAATCAATGATGAAAATTCAATAAATAATTCATCACTTCAAACACCAATTGTACAATCAATTGTTAATCGTACAACATCAACTATTGATTATACACGTCATCGTGAACGTCTTGCTAAAGAACTTAAAGATTATGAAGATCGTTGGTTAGCACATAGAAATTTTCTTCTTTATACACAAGCATTTAGTATGAAACCTGAAGATCGTGAACGTTTATTTTCACAAATAAATTCGACGAATAATGATGAAACATTTTCTCGTTTATCGAAAGAAGAACGAGATCGATTTTTAGCAGCTGCTTTATATAATCAACAACAACAGCAACAACAACAAAATCCCTATAATTTTCATCAATATCCATGGACAACACCATCAACAACAGCAACATCATCATTAATTATTCCACCGATACCATCAAATACAACTGATCAACCACAGCAACAACAACAACAACAGCAACCGAAATCACCTAGTTCAGATGATAGTGGTAATCAATCAAATTCTGGAAGTACAACTGAATGGTAAAGTTTATATTTTTATTTTACTTAATATTGAATTTTTATTATTTTGTTATGCTTTTCTCTTTCTAGGACATTTGAAGAACAATTTCGTCAGGTAAATAAATCTTGATTGACGAGAAATCAATTAAGTTTAGTCTAACTATTTCTATCTTTATTAAGATCTATCATTTATTTGTTTCTGTTTGCACATCATTTGGATAGTGTGTATATGTGTGTCTCGCTCATTCTTTGTAGATAGAATGAGTATTGATAGCTTTGAGGCAATAATTAATTGAAATGTTTGGTATATGTATATAGTAGATGGGTTGCCATAAGAGATGTAACAAAGACTCATTCATCTATTTTCTCTTTAATAGAAACACTTATCTATTATTAAAGACATGCGGGTTAAGAGAGAAATCAAAACCACATCTATCTTCTTTTTATTTTACACAATAGTTTCATAGACAAGGTAGATCAAGGCAAACATTCACAGAAAATTAATCGAAAAAAAAAAGACGGGAACGTTGACCATCTGTATGAAAATGCGCCCATATACACACATTGCTTATTACTTATTGACAAGGTAATTAGAGGCAAAAAAAAAGATTGATTATTTAAAATTCTTTGTCAGAATAGACAAAAAAAAAAAAAGTTTATATATATATATATTGCTTAGATAGTCTGGCATATCAACATACACACATCATCTCAGTTGATTAGATCGGAAAATAATTATCGAGCTGAAGGTTAGAAAAGAAACTAGGCGTCTGTTTTTATTCTCATTTTTTTTTCTATTTCTGCATATATATATATATAATATAAGCGTTGTGTGTGTCGTTGAGAAGTATATTACAATCAGATATTGTGATCGATGTTGCTCGACTGACATTTCTGTTCGTATCTTTCTCATCAGGTTTATATAACAATAAGAATTTTCTATCCATCAAAAAACGTTTATGATCTTGCAGCTGTTGTTTAGCTTGTAACTATCCCTTTAGACTAATTTTCTTCCGATTAAGGCCGGTCAGTTTTTGTCTGATGATCAATTTATCGTTTACATTAAAGGCAGAACATATCCATGTCAGTCATATATACATATCAACTAATTGCTTTCGAAGAAAAGGAGAAAAAAAAAGACACATTAGTTTTGCTCATTTATAAATATGTGCATCTTTAGATTATTGATGAGCTTCTGTATTTAGATCAACAATTAGTCTCATTGGGACTTGTGCATATATATATATATATTGCTAATTCTTTTTGTTAAAAAAAAAAGAATAAAATGGCTGATCATCAAATAGAATGTCGCACACGCTCTTGTCTGCTTCTGTATAAAGAAGCACAGCTCGAGGCAATATCGATCATTTGCTCCTAATTGCATTGTTTCGAGGCAGATGGTTGACGAGCAAAAAAAGAAAAAAAAAATGAGCATCTTAAAGAAAAAAGATTTGTTTTTATGGACTATTCGATTTCAATTAAATCACAAAGAAATATCCAGCTGCTGTCAAACTAAAAATCAGCTTAAAGATTATATCTTATCCTATATGTAAGACACGTTTTCTTAAACGAAAGAATATTAAACGATGAAGTTCATTTCTTTCTTATCAACATATAAAGAGAAGGTCAAATTGAGCAGAAAGAAGACGGTCGAGCACTTGTGTCTATAAAAAAAACAAAAAAAAATAAAAAATAAAAAAAAAAAAACGAAGCTTCATCGATCACAATTACAAGAGAAGATAGTCTTTCTTTCTTGTTATAGAGACAAATAAACAAATCATCATTGTATACACGCTCGATTAGAGTCATTTCGGGAGAAAGATGTAGAAAAATTATTATTAATGAATTTCCTGTCTTGTCCGTAGTGAATGAATTAGTTTAATGAAACAAGTTTTCTCTTTTTTTTTTTTTCTTCTTAGCTTTATGAATTATCTGACGAACCAAAACGTAAAGAATTTCTCGATGATTTATTTGCATTCATGCAAAAACGTGGTAAGTATTTAATTAAACAGAAATAAGTAGTTTTGTTTTTTTTTTTAATTTTTGATTGGAAGAAATTTTTTATCCAATAATAATATGAGATGAGCGTTTTTTTTTTTTTTTCTTTTAAAATTATTATCAATATATCATAATAAAACAAAACATATGACTGTTAACGGAAGTAGTCGGTTTAATAGTTCAAAAGAATGATTGAAATCAAATATGAATATATCTTTTTCTTATTCTTGACAGGTGATTGAAATGAAAGTATTTGTTTGTTCGATTTTTGATGAATTATATACTTGAGAATAAGATGAAAACTTTGTTTTTTTTTTCTTCTTTTTATTCAAGGTACTCCTGTTAATCGAATTCCTATCATGGCAAAACATGTTCTTGATTTATGTAAGTGAATATTTAATATCTATGATGAGAAAGATAAATACGAGATTTATTTTTTCTATAGATGAATTATTTCGTTTGGTTGTCGGCAAGGGCGGTCTCGTCGAAGTTATTAACAAGAAATTATGGCGTGAAGTGACGAAAGGTCTCAATCTACCAAGCTCGATTACTAGTGCTGCATTTACTCTACGTACACAGTATGTATATATATATATATATGTCTTTATGTATTAATGCATTTAGTTAGAAATCAATTTTCCGAGAGAATCGTTTTTTTTTTTGCTTACATATTTGTTTGATTAGTGAATTAAATGACTCGATTATTTTTGAGACATATTATCTATCTTCTTCAGATCAAATGTATTTCTTTATAAAAGATATCTATGATCGATCTACATCATTCGAAAGATTCTCTTTATAATTCCGCATATTCTCAAGAGACTTGTTCTCTACATATTTCTTTTTTCTTTCTCTCCTTAATAATTAGATAAAGTGTTGACATATATCATGTATTGAACTAATAAATTCTATTAGATGAATACAGAGGTCAAGATTTTCTCATAAGAGATTTGTATTTTTTATTTGAGTAAATATTCTTGGCATTTGTTGTCTATCATATGTCAATGTCTCAAACATAAACGATAAGAGATCAATTTGTTCTGGCATATTTCTATAGAATAAGAAAAAGAAACTTGCACCATCATTAATTCTCAACTTAGCGTGTCAATGCCGTTTGTTTCCTATTATTATAAGAGAAAAAAAAAGACTAATGATAATGGACAGAAATATTATATTATTATTATTGTTTTTTTTTTCTTTTACTTTTCTATTAAGATATATGAAATATTTATATCCATATGAATGTGAAAAATTACAATTAAGTTCACCGGGTGAATTACAAGCAGCAATTGGTAAATTAGAACATAGAGATTAGAAATATAGATGTTTTTTGTTTGTTTATTTTTCTTTTAAGAAGGTAATCGACGTGAAGGACGTCGACCATCATATGCATTTGAATATTCTTCACCACCACAAATAATGCCACCACCACCGCCACCACCAACATCAACAAGTGCCTTTCTAGCAAGTCCACTTGCACATCGACCATGTAAGAAATTTATTAATTCATATATATATATATATTCTTTATTTTGTATTTTATTAGTGGATCCTAATCATGGACATGAAGCCATGCAACATGCAGCTATGGCCGCTGCTGCTGCTCTATCACATCCTTTTTTTTTAGCAGCTGCAGCAGCTTCATCACGTGATGGTAATCATTCATCAATTGAACAATCATCAACACCAAGAATTCCTTCATTTGATGATCATCATCATCATCATAATCATTTACAATCATCATCACCAACATCAATTATTCCAACAAATAAATTATTTGAACGTTCATCAACAGCAACTAAACGAAGTCTCTCACCATCATTATTATCTAAACAACAACAAAATGATGATAATAATAATATAAATTCACTTTCAAAAAAATCTATTACATCAATAAATAATATACGATCAACATGTTTTACACCAGTGACAACAAATAATAATTCATCATTATTATCACCAGTTAGTAAATTAAAAATTATAGCTAAAGGTAATGAGAATAAAATTTTCAAATTTTTTGTTTTTTTATTATAGTGTCTTATGTATGTATTTTTTTTTTATTTCGTTTTTTGTTATAGAAAATAATCCTGATCAACAACAATCAAATGAAAAATCAATAACAATTTCAATTGAATTAAATGGTATTGCTTATCAAGGAACATTGTATGCAACAATGTTCACTGGTAGCAAAGAGTGAACATACAAAATAAAAATAAAAAATGCGCGCTTGTGTGTGTGCTTTTCAATTCGAGATATTTTCTTGAACTTTTTCTTTCTTTCTTTCGTTTTTTTTTTTTTTGTTTGTATTCTATCTCGTTTCGTTTTTCTTTTGTATTGACTATAATTACTACGAACGCTTTTTTTCTCTCTCTTATTTGTGCATAAAAATTAACAAAGTATTTCAAATAGCAAATCGATTGTTTTGATAAGACACGTAGTCATATGTTATTTTAATATGACATGAAGAAAAATCTTTATTCAAGAAGTACAATAGGATGCAACCAAAAAAACAACAATTATCGTTTGATATCGATCAGTGCTTTGACTATCTATGAGTCATATTAGACTAATAGAGACATCTGCTTGTACTTTCTGACATGATAGCCAAGTAGAAGTGTGCAGAGTAGAGTACTTCAGGTCGAACATTTTTGTTGGCTTTTTGGATTTGTTGATTAGGGTATTCTACAAAATTCTCAGGCGACTAGAGCCCATCAGATTTATTGATATTATAAAAATAAAATTTTATTTATTTACAAAAAAAAAACTACAAAACAAATATGGAATTTTAGGATAGAAGTGATTGCTCATGATATGAAATTTTAAAATAAATTTTCTTTAGTGTCTTTTAACCAAATAAATAAAATCTTATTTTTCGGAAAACAAAAAAAACTTGCATTTACAGTTAGAAAATTTGAATATTCAATAGAAAATATAGATCAATAGTGGTACAATGTGTTTTTCACCTAAATTTATCATTTCTTGTGACTCATAAAACACAACGTCGAGTGAAAATTTATTTTTCATTATTCTATTTGCTTTTGTCATATGTCAAGAAAAAAAACCATAATAACACGGTGAATCACCATCGAATAGCATCTAATCAATTAGAAAAGTTATTTATTATTGATTAACTATTATACTGTCTTACGCAATACCTTGAAATCTATACAACTCTGATTCATGACAACACAGGAAACTAAAGTAAACAGAACGAAAAGGATTGGAAAAATACAAGTAAGTTGACGTCATTTGATTATTTCATCCATTAAAGAAAAGATAAAAACAATCATAGTTTAGATAAAAGTTATTTGAAACTGCATTTATTCTGTTTTTTTTTTTTTAATATTTCATTTTATCATCGTGAAATATTCATTTACGGTAAAAGCAATAATTAGTTATTATCTTCTAAATTTGAAAACAGACGTCTAATGAATGATTCTATTAGTGAATTATCTACAACAACAAAAACATTTCTTTTTGGTTCAGGTCAACTATTATCATTGAATGAATTTCAAATTGAAAAATTTCCGTATTTAACAGCATTGGTCTCTGCAGGATCTTGTTTTGATTTGATTAAAGATCATCGAGGATATTTTTTACTGGATTCTCGCATCGATTATCAAGATTTTTTATTTGCTTTAGATGCAGCTTCATTCCATTCAGTACGACAAATATTCACTAAACTACCTAAAAATTATAATATTTTATCGATTATTGCTCTTTTGGATTTTCTTACCCTTGGACCAAAAAGAAATCCAACTCTCGAAGAAATTAATTCAAGTTTCTTTTGGAATGTTAAATTCGGTTATAAATTCAATACCTATGATTTTATTCATAGATCATCTGATTTTCAAGATATGGCTGTACGATTTGCTTTTGCTATTGCAAAAGAAGAATATGATTTTACAAATCATAAAACAATAGATCAAATCTATTGGCTTATTATGTTTATTCTTAGTGCTTACAAATTCTTTGAAACACATATTCGTTATCATATATATAAAATTGCTCAAAATTGTTTTTCGATATTTTGTCCATCTTTATTAAAATGTTTATATCGACTTGAACAAAGAATAGAAAAAGAAATACAATGTACAACAGATAATCATTTTAATTGTCAAGAAGAAAATAATGTCTTCTGGAATTTGAATCCATACAAAATTAGTTGGGAATATGATTTTGAAACATTCAATCAGATATGTAACATACACTATTTAGGCTTGATCTCCAGGCGGCGCATTTACAACACTATGATATTTGATTGGCCATGGATACGTTGTTCTTCCTATTTCGACTCGTCGGGTATAAATTTTCTCACCATGGATAAAAATTTCGAACCGATTCGTGAGACAATATTAGAAAATATGTACAAGTATTTGTTGGATACACTATTACAACAATTATTAGTGAAAACACATGATAACAAATTCAAATTCAATTATTTTACAGAAATTAAATATAAACCAATCTTAGATGATATACTAAATAGTAATAACGTACAAGTAACAATACAGGAAAGTATACTATCAAACATCAGTGAATTGATACCGAAATTAGAACAACACTATACTAAGTTAATGAAAGAAATACAAGATTATGAACAAAATCATGAAATCTCAAACGAACATGAAATATGGAATCTATTCAGGAACTTAATTTTTGATAGTAGTAGATGTAAATACCGGAAAACACAATACGAAGCATTAGAATGTGAACAAACTCTGAACAAGTTGCATGAATATGAACGTGTAATTGATGAAATACGAAAAACAATTCTACACGATTTGTATAATCTATTTATGAATGAAATCAAAATATTTGTTGATCGACGAAAGACAATACAGAAATTACTTAAAAGATTATCATTGAAAAAAGAGTTAAAGATAAAAGTTTCGAAATTAAATAAAATACATCAAACTACATACTATCCACCGCTACCGAAAGTTCAATGCAAATATAAAACACGGTAAATTTGAAGATTTTCTCGGTATAATTATACGAAAACGTTAAGCAAAAACTTTTGCATTATAATAATATTTGAATTAATTAATTTGGTATTTTCGCTTTTTGAACAGGAAGAATAACAAAATATATTTTAATTCATAATACAACAATATGTAGAAAATCATCAAATTATATATGATTTTATTCATTTATTTAATCATTCAATGGAAAATTTTCTAATGTGAAGTGTTACAATGAAAATGTTTCTTTATTGGATTCTACTGTAGAGAATTCAGAAAAAGTTTGAATATTTCAATTAACACACGGCGACAGTATGAATCGTTTAAAAGCTCTTCTAGTGTAGTGATCTTCTATTACTGAACAAAATATAGATTGAAATACTTGTAATCATTTCTAATTCTTTCCCATAAGTATTTTCTTGCAGATCTATTTTAGGACATTCTATAGATTTATTATTTGTTGTTTAAAAAACAGTACTAGGTGGGTAAAAATATTATTCCAGGGGGAGTAACACTATGATTTCAAATAGAATACATAATGAATTTTATATCAAATGAAAGCTCGTCAAAAATGGAGTTTATTGATACTAAATAATGAGGGTTATAAAAACTTTTTAATATCGAACTTAAGAAACTTTCAGAAATTTTATACTTTTTTTTGGGATGGAAAAGTAAGATGCCAGTAATTGAAAAATCGAGTAAAATGTTTTTCTTGGATATTTTTATATGATTCGATAGAGCTCGTCGAGCTCTACAAAACTATATATATATTAAAAGATTTTTAAACAGAGTTCTTGAGTTAAAACACACTGAAAACTGTCTAAAGGATGTACCAAAAAAACCGCGTTTTTTTAGAGTTTTTATAGGGAAAAAAGTGGTCTTTTTTTTACATTAAATTCAGCTGTTTTCCATTAATATCCTTATGTAAGGTGTTTGAAAATATACTCATTCGTTATAGCGTGAAAAACTGCATCGAATGTGTATATTTCGAAACGCCTGAGGAAGTAAAAATAATTAAAAAAAGGTTAATTTTATTGAAACATCCAGTGTGTTTCTTCAATATCAAAAATATAAGTTTTTTTAACGTTTTTTAAGACTTTGCAAATAGTTTTTTGAATTTTTTATCGCAAAAAACTAATTTAAAAATTTTTTTAATATATATAGTTTTGTAGAGCTCGACGAGCTCTATCGAATCATATAAAAATATCCAAGAAAAATATTTTACTCGATTTTTCAATTACTGACATCTTACTTTCCCATCCCAAAAAAAAGTATAAAATTTCTGAAAGTTTCTTAAGTTCGATATTAAAAAGTTTTTATAACCCTCATTATTTAGTATCAATAAACCCCATTTTTGACGAGCTTTCATTTGATATAAAATTCATTATGTCTTCTATTTGAAATCATAGTGTTATCCCCCTGGAATAATACTTTCACCCACCTAGTATAAAAAAGAATTTAATCGCTATAATTCTCATATTTATTGTTTTTCATTATGTACATCTGTATTTTTTTTTGTTATGTAATTTATTATCTAAATAAAATGAATGTAACAAGATAATAGTGAATAGAATATAGGTTTTTTTTTTTTTGAGTATTTCTTTTTTTATAAGCTACTAGAGTACATAAAAACTATAGAGAAGTACTCAAAAAACGTTCATTATGACACATCATCAAGTAAATAATGCTTTTGTGTAGGCAATAAAGCATGAATATTCATCTTTTAAAAGTGAATAATTAGATTTAAATGCAAAAAAAGTACATTTACATTATTTGCGACATATATATATAAAAGAAAAAAAAAAAACGTTCTTTGATGTAAGTTATAAAACGGAAAAAAAAGCTTTGTTCTTAATGATGCATCGATATAAAATTAATTAGGAAAAAAAATTTTTAGAATCCAATATGATAATATTCTACTATACGGATGACGTATCATCATTATATGTGGAAGCTATATGTCGATATAAATAGCACCTCCGCGACTGATCTTTCTTTTCTCTTTATCCTCTTTCTCTCTATTTATTACTATCTCCTGTAAAGAATGTCTAATAAGTTTTGATCTGCTTTCAAGTAATATTCTTTTCTTGTATGTGTTTTTCAGTAGAATAAGTTAACATTTTATATCATATGTATACTAAACATCTAGATCTATTCTATACTCTTTATAGTCGCAAAAATACAAGTAATATAAAATTCATAGGAATAATTTGAATTATTTTTACAAACAATATTGATGAAAAAATGTTAACTTTTAGTTTTCTGCATATCACTAATGCATTCTGTTATTTTATCTACATGATTGATTATTAACAGAGAAAAATTACACGATGTCTCATTTTTTATTGTCTAGTACGTGTAACCTGTAGCAAAAAAACGCAAGCCCTACGAATAAGTTACATGTGCACAAATAAATTGAATTTTAATGACTAAGTGAATTGAGAGATAATTATCATTTTTTCTCGGATGATAAATGTTTATTTTATGGTAAATATTTTCAAAAATAAGAAATTATTTAGATCATTTATATTAGTTTCAAAAAAAAAAAAATCTAAATCCATTATGATAAATATCTCAAAGTTGAATTTTTATTCAACAATTAGAAACTCTTTCATTATTCAAAAGATATTAACTTTTAACGAAAGTAAGAAGACTATTGAAAAAAAATATAATCATTGATAAAACAAAAGATCAGGATATTCTATTATAGTATAATAATATTAATTTTCCAACAATTAGCCAAATCATCGATAAGCACTAAGAAAAGAATTAAATCTTGTCCATAAACTATAAATAATACTATAGAAAAATTAAAATGATTTAACACCAAAAAAATTCTAAAGATTAATCAATAGTAATAAAATTAAACGAGTATTTTGTGCTAAACAATTAAGCATAAAACTTGAAATTGGAAAATTACCAAACAAAGGATTGAAATCAACTAGTCACTACAGATTTTAGTAGGAAGTTTACTTTAAAATCATTTTAATATAAAAGCAACAATGATATTTGAACGAAATATGGAGAAATTATACCATCATCAACTTTAGCCAATCACAACTATGGAGAAATTTTAAAAAGGAATATTTTTTTTTTTCGAGATCTATTTCATCACATAACTTCATTTCAATTAATTTTACTAAATGGTTACATCCATAACAATTTCGAAACAAGGAACATAGAAAAATAAGAGGTGGATTGAAAGATTTTTAACAAAATATTTGACTATTGTTCGTGTATTCAAATGTATTGGAAAAAAGTAAATTGGGATTACAATTTTGTGCTCTTTCAACATATATACTTAGAATTTTTCTGTGACTTTTAACTATTGAATTATAACTTATATCTAACAAGTGATTTGTACGTTAAATTTAAAAAAAAAGTCACACTTACAAAAAAAGATTAGCATTTAAAAATATTAAATTCGTATCAATTTTTTAAGATGATGAAGATAGAAAATATTGAAGAGCAGTTGTAATGAATCGTATTGATCCTGAAGTTAGTGATGCAAAATTTGCTAATATTATTTGATCAATCGAAACAGTTTGGATCGCCTTCCAGACCTGACAGACGTGTTTGATATATGAGCTACGTATTTATTGCATTTCCAGAAAATTAAATAAATAGCTAATGAAGAAAATGTGTTTCAAAATAGATTGAATAAATTATCTGCACAAAACAATTACATCGTGTTTCACGTTTATTAACTAGCTGAATGTGTAGAAAAACTTTAAATTCAAACGCTTAGCTACCGAACAATTATTTTCAATTATCCATTTACTGTAAAGTTTTTATGACATAATACGTCATAGTATAGGACGTACAAAAATATAATATAGGTAATCTAAACTCAATACATTGACTAGAATAGTTATCATGAAAAAGAAATTTTTGTTTGGAATAGTGGACTTCTATTGTATTATATATCGAAAATCTGAGTTTAAAGGTGATGAAATATTTCGATCGTTTTTTCCGTTAGTGTGAAGATTAATGCAAACCGGCTGAAATAAGAACGAATTTGTAGAAATTTTTTTCTTTCTTCGGTATGATATATTATTCAGCTATGGCTAAAATTTACGTATAGACTTTACTATACATTGATAAGAATATTTCCTTTCGTTGATGTTTTATATTCGCTTCACGTTTCAAATAAAATACATAAAACAAAGCAAAAAGTTACTACAAGAAAAGTACTTCTAATATCATGCAATATGAAATGATGGGATATATTTTTAAAAAAAAGAATGGAAAACAGGTACAATGATACTCGAAAAAAAAAGAATTTCTTACTTATTCTATTAATCTGATATGTTCTATCAAGAAGAAATAAATGACACAAATAAATAATTTCATTATATTAAAAATAAACATTTTTTCTTCTTCATATTTATTACCTAAAATCAACTACACTTTGACTTGTTATGAGATCAATATAGATGCACTTTTGTCCTATATGCATGTACTCATTTGATATCAACTAGAAGCTGACACATTATATTTTAATAATGTTCTTTTTTTCATTAGATTCAACATTAAAAAAATTCAGTGTAATCAGATAGAAATAATAAAATGACATACAGTTGTCTATTTCAAAGACGTGTAGATATATAAATATTACGCTATATTTCTTTATAACATGAGACAATAATCTTACTTGACATTTAAGCAATTTTTTGATGGTTTATAATTCATTCTAGATCTGATAATAATAACATAAGATTCTTTCTTATTTTGAATTTTAAACGAAAATTTTATTTTTTTTCTTATCAAAAGAAATTTGTTTAAATTTAAAGTTTGAAAAGATTTTTTATAACTTGTCAATCAAGAATATCTACAAGTATACATAGATTTATATTTAGTTTACAGTTAAATCTTTCAATACAAAAAAAAAAAATAAGTTTCAATATAATATAGCATACATTTGAACAACAAAAGTCATTTTATTTCTATTCCATAGTAACTGTCGATAGTCCATGTGTATCATTTGGTTTATTTTTCATTGACGT